CAAAAATAAACTTGGAAAGTTTACTTTTTATCATGGGCTAAAATTTAAAATAATATTGATATTGCCTGATGATTTAAGAGTTAGTAAAGTTCTCCTGTGAATGTATCCATTATTTTCTAGGTCTTCAGTTGAGCAAAGTAGTTTCCTATTCTTTTTTTAAGTTTTTGTGTTTTGGTGGCTTATTATGGTTATTTTCAACTTGTCATTTCTAATTTTATGAATTTGCATTTTAAATTTTCTTAATTTCTTTAGGTAGTATCTTGTCCTTTGGTTACTTTCAGAAAAATAGCTTTATTATATTCTGCAATTTGCTTTATAAACTTACTAAAGGCCCTTTGCAGGAAGATTCCTGCAATAGGGCTTCCTGCTGCAGTCCCTGCCCAGCCTACTTCCCTTCCTTCTCCCCAGCCTGCCTGCTTTCCTCTCTTTTCTCTGCACTATCTGCTTTCCTTCTGTCTCCACTGCCCTGCTTGCTTGCTACACCACAGCTTCGCTCCCTTCTACAGCATTTGGCTTCTTTCTATGCTGTCTTCAATGTTTGCTCTGGTCTGGATATGCAGATTAACTGCCATTTTGGTTGGATTAATTTGCATAATCACCCTGATTGGCTGGTGGGCATGGCTTGTGGGCATAGCGAAGGTGTGGTCAATTTGAATGTTTCTCTTTTATTAGGTAGTATTGATTTTAGCTTTTATCATTGTTCATCCCTACCTCCTGCTTTTTTTTTTAAACCTGCTTTTCCTGTTCTTTGCTGTTTTTTTCTTGATTTTTGCTGTGTAGTATTACCTTTATTTTTATTACTATATTGGTGATTTGTATCTGATATTTGTTTTATCTACCCATAATATTACACTACCATTATTATGATTTTCAATAACAGATGTAAATTATTTTGTATTCCTCTTTGACCCAATGGCTTATTTAATGACATTGTTTAAATGTCATTCTAGGTAAAAGTACCCTCTTGTTTTATTATTAAGTTCTTCTTTCATTGCATTTCAGTTAGTGAATGCCTTTGTGATACATCTGCTCTTTAGAATTTCTTCAGGGTGTTTATCACATCAGATGTGATATATTTTGTGAAGATCCCATATGCCCTTAAGAAAAAAATATTTTCTGTTATTGAATTTCAGAGTTCGAGACAGATTTATAAGCTCTGTTTTATGAATTATACTCTGTATATCTTTTGTAAATTTTCAATAGGTAATTTGTCTTGATTTTTAAAATATAAGCCAAATAAACCTATTAATATGTTTCTTTCAATTTCCTAGCATTCTCTTTGAAATATATTTTACACACTTTTTATTTTTAATTCTTTTTTTGTATAATTTGTCCACTCTTTTATTGTCAACTTTTCTAAATCTCTTTATTTTTAATTATCTTTTATATACAAAAAAGTGTTAATTTTCTTTTGTCAGTCAATTTGAAAATACCTGTATTTTAACAGTATGTTACATCTATTTACATTTATTGATATGATCAATATTTTTGGACTTATATTTGAAAAGTAATATTTATATAGGTGAATATTTTGTATAAAGTTTTTCACTGTGTCCTATTTTATTGTGCTCTCATTCTTATAGAGGAGTTTTAACTTTTATTCTTACAGTTATTTTTATAGTAATGTCTATACTAATAATAGAGGAATGTGCAAATTATCTGGGACACTGTCACATCATCACCATTCAGCAGGGTGGCGGGGCTGTGGGGCCGTGGGGTGGGACTCTGGTCTGATGCAATTTTGTCCTGCCCAGGCAGACTCCCCTGTGGCCCCACAGCCAAATCCCCAAGGGGACCTGGGGTTTACTAAACTTTACTGGAGCTGCTCACCACACCCCCACTCCCTGCCCCAGGACTGCGCTGTCCAAAGCAGGGCGCCTGGGCAGCCTCCTGACAGGCAGGCGGCCTGGGAGAGCTGAGTGGGGCTGGCGTACCCGGGAGCCACAGAGGGGTGGGGAGGCTGGAGCCAAGTTCCCAGGGGTCTGAGGAGAGCACCTCACAGGAGCCCAGACTGCAAAGAAGGAAGGGGAAGCAGCCACAGAGAGCTCTTCCAATCCCCCTGCACAGATACCTTACTCCAGCCCCCACACCCCCGGGGAGACCGGAGAAGACCCAGCCTTGGGGATAGCTGCAAACCACATCTCTGACTCCCAGTCTCTTCCCCAGGGGCACCCACATCAATAGCATACGGGCGATGACTGGTTAGTGCCCCCGAGACACCGGGGGCCCATAGCCCACTGTAGCCGGCCCCCCTCACTGAGGCCAGACATGCCTCTCCTCCCTACAACTCCAGACCTGTGTGGAGGCAGGCCTGAGAGACCCCCGAGGGTCAGACCCATTCCCACCTCCCCCACAGCAGTGACACCATCTCTGCAGTGGAAGCACACTGAACCTCACCCGAGACTGTGGCTAACCTTGCCCTCCTAGCCCGCCTGGCCTGCCCTGATCTGGCCCTTGCCCCACTCCAGAATATTGGAACCCCGCTCTGAGCACCTACAGCTTTGAAATGGTGCCAAGCGGGGAGGCTTGACAGTTACTTCCTCTTTGGCCTCACTGCCTCCCTAGTACCCCCCTAGTATCCCCTTAGTACTCCTCCTCCCCCCTTGGCCAGTGCCCCCAGGGACAACCATTGCTACAGGGCTGTTGGCCAGAGCCTGCCCCACCAAGGCCTGCAGAACCCTCTGCAAAGCTTCCATAGGTACAGTCCCAGAAAACCATCATGGCCTCCTCCCCTAATCAGCACCTGCTACCTGCAAGGGTACCCGTGGGCTTAAAAATAACAGTCCCTTCCCATTTAGACATCACTTACTTTATGAAACATTTCTAGGTTTATTAGTTCAGAACCTCCTCATGACAACTCAGTGAGGTAGGCAGGGAAGAGATCACAATTCCCATGGTATATGGATATGTATTCAGAAATGAAGCTGAGAGGAAAAGTGTCAAGCCCAGTGGTTCCTAAGGTTCAGCACATGCCCCAAAGGGGGGGAGGGGCAATTTGATTTTAAGTGGGGGAAATTTGAGAATGAGTTAACAGTAATTTTTTTGTTTTGTTGCATTTCTTATGCTTCTAGGGGCCCTCATCTACAGCATAGCCTATATAATGAAAGGCTAATAGGCAAATGACTGAATGGTGGAATGACCCGCCACTATGATGTGCACTGACCACCAGGGGGAAGATACTCAACAAAGGAGCTGCCTCATGGTGGTCAGTGTGATCCCACAGGGGGAGCGCAGCAGCAGTGGTGGGAACCTCTCCAGCCTCTGAGGCAATGCTAAGGGTGTCTGACTGATGGCTTAGTGGGTCTAAGCTGTCAGCTGGTTATCCACCCAGGGCTCCGGGACTGCGAGAGGGGGAAGGCCAGTCTGAGGGACCCCCCCATCCCAAGTGCATGGATTTTGTGCACTAGGTCTCTAGTCCTATATAATAATCCAGTATAATGAAGAGGTAACTTGCAAATTGACCATCACTCCAACATACAAGATGGCTTCCCCCATGTGGTCAAAGGTGACCCCCCCCGTGTGACACAAGATAGCCACCACAAGATGGCCAGCAGGAGAGGGCAGTTTTGAGTGATCAGGCCTGCAAGGGAGGGCAGTTAGGAGCGACAAAAGCTGTAGGGAAGGGAAGTTAGGGGTGATCAGGCTGGCAGAGGAGGACAGTTAGGGGCAATTAGACTGGCAGGGAAGCAAGTAGGCATCAATCAGGCTGGCAGGCAGAAGTGGTTAGGGGCAATTAGGCAAGCAGGCAGGTGAGTGGTTGCAAGTCAATAGTTCTGGATTGTGAGAGGGCAGTCAGAGATCCCTCAAAGGGGTCCCAGATTGGAGAGGATTGTAGTCTGGGCTGAGGGACATATTCACTCCATGCATGAATTTTGTACACCAGGCCTCTAGTATTTATATAAAAACCTTGGATGTCTCTTTTTTCAATTTTTGTCTTTTATTCTTTGGTAAAAGATCCATTAAATTTAATGGCTTGTCTTTCTTTTGCTTCTTCTCCATGTCCCTAAGCAAATATTTGTTGTAATATCCTTTTATTTCCAGTTAATAGCCATGAAGTAATCACAAACTCATTTTAAATGTTATACGCTCTCACTATTGTCCCTGAATTATTTGATACTTTTTGTATCTATAATATGTTGTCAAATTGCACATAACACATGACACTCTTTTTCTTGCAACCATCATTTTGTTTTAATTCTAAAGTTATGCTTGCACCAATTATTATAATAACACTTCTCCAACTATTTTGGTTGCAAGAAGAAACTCATCTAGTAGCTTCCACAGGGCATGAGAAAAATATTCCCTAATTTTTATAATAGTTTATTTTTTAGTCTTTATATGTAAAAATTTGATCAAATGGGTATTAAATTCTAGCTAATTTTCCTTTATATCTTCCATCCAGAGCTATGTTAAGTAAATAGAGTATATCTCTAATATAGTCTCTGTATACAACACTTCTTAAATAAAATATTATGTTGAAACTTCAATGTATATTATCAGTATATATAAAAGCCTAAGCGACTGGACAACTGAACAACCGAATGACAGGTCAACTGGCTGGTAGCTATGATGCACACTGACCACCAGAAAGCAGACACTCAGTGCAGGAGCTGCCCCCTGGTGGTCAGTGCACTCCCAAGGTGGGAGCACCACTCAACTGACCAATAGGTGCCAGACACAGGGCTCATGGCTGGCTGCCACAACTTGGAGACCACTGCAGAGCAGCAGCGAGCCTATTGAGCAGTGGAGGCTGCAGGTGCAGCAAGGCCAGGATAAGCAGAAATGGCAGGCAAGAGTGGCTGGTGATATTGGACTATCGGTTTCAGCCTGATCCTCACAGGCTACGCTGAGGTACCCCACAGGTGTATATAATCTTTATGCAATACATATTTTGTATATATGCATGTATGCTATTATAAATTCATATATACTTATTTACATAGAACATTTATGTATTGACTTTCAAAATATTTAGTTGGTGCAAGTGCTCACTTACTTACCTTTGTTTGCCTTTGTGATCTACAGAGCCAGCTGAGAGTCTGTCCAGGGGAGACCCAAAACCAGAGAAACTCCTTTTCTTCTTTGTTTCGATCACATCATTCTCCAGAGACACAAGTTCATCAAGAAGCATGAGTTTTGCTGCCAGATCAGCTGCTGATTTCTCTTCCCTGGCTGTGGCTGGTGACTGCGCATCTCTGATTCCAACATCAAAAGTCTATCGAGCAAGAAAGGTGATTCTATTCACCTCAAATATGTGTAATCATATGCATTTGACTTTTGCTACATTTACCTGATATACCTGTCATAAAACTTGATTTCTACGAATTTATGATTCAGAGAGACTTTTGAGGGCAAACACGTATAGAGGTGAGGTATACCCAACAGAAATTAAAGAAAAACAACACACACACACACACACACACACACACACACACACACACACACAAACACACCCTTAATCAAAGTTCCATGCTCGCCTCTCAAATTTAGTATATTAGCAGATAATTCTTTTGGATTCTTTCCCTGTAACAACTGTATCTTTTATTATCATTCCCACAGCATTGTAGCTATATTTTGATTCTTACAGTAGTTACATTTTCCTTTGTATTGGATTTATTATAATATATTTGTAATGCATATTAGATTGTGAGTAATTTGAGGGTAATGACTATGTCTAATTAGTCTTTTATTGACTCTCTTTAATGCCTACCCCACTATTTTGCTCATAGTTAGTACTTAATAAATTTTACTCATAGTTAGTACTGATAAATTTTTATGGAATTAATTCCATGAACACTAAACTTCATGTTTCCCCCCCCCACCACCACTCAGTCACCTCTTATTAATTCAAGCCCTAAGCATTCAGTATGTACTGCATTCAAAAATCTAGAAGTCTCTGCCTTCAGGGGATCTACACTTCCATCCGTGTGCTTTATTAACAAATATTAATAAGTATTTAATGTTCTATAAAATCAAAGCTTTCTCAATGATTTTGTTGCCCCATGTAAAATTTCCTGTTTTTTTATTTGTCTATTGCATATAGTGCCCTTTTGTAGTTCATCCAAGTCATAAAAGTATGTAATTAATAGAAAAGGCTTATCTTAATAGAAAATATATTTGGTCCCTTAAGCTAGTTCCCATTACCTCAGTTGCTGCATCCACTGAGAGCACTTTTCCTGAACTCCACAGGATAAATGTCACAGCCAGGACAAAATGTGCACTTGCCAACCTCCAGTCCAGCATCTAAAGGTCACACACAACAGGGTTAACATTACTCGTTTGGCATGTAACGATAGGAAAACAAAACTCCTATAAAGCATATTACATAGAGGTGATAAATTAAATTATTCAGCTTCTACTAGGCAAAGCTTAAATAACAGTTTATAGAAGCTGTCAATCTCTCAGAATGAATTCTATCATGGCTTCATTTCCATGGAAATATAGATTGGAGTTGTACAGCTATAATACTAATTTAATTCAAAGTAACCCCAGTCTGAGAAATCTAACTTGTATAATTTTATTTTTGACTATCTAATCCTGGGATTACAGTCTCATGAACCTAAGGGGAAATGTGTAAAATTGGTCAGGTAGGAAAGAATGATCTGGTGAGGTTTGTGGTGAACCAAGGAGGATATGCTTTGAGTAAATCATTTAAATTAAAAATGTCACAGACCCAATATGGAAATATCTTTATGTCCTTGATATATATAAGGATTTCTTAAGCAACATTTATATCAAAATTAAAAATTCTGTACAAGATACAATAAACAAAATAAAAACAAATTAAAAGTGGCATATATTTTCAAAGCTCATAAAAATCAGTTCTTGGAAAATTTAAATAAGTTTGACTAATAAAATTCTACAACTAGACACAAAATTAAGTAACAATGGGCCCAAGTTTATACAGAGACATGTATCTGAAAGGTCATAGCCTCATTGTTTAGAATAGTAATAAATTAGAATCAAACTAGCAAGGCCTATGTGGTTTAGTGGTTGAGTGTTGACCTATGAACCAGAAGGTCAGGATTCTATTCCTACTCAGGGCACATGCCCAGGTTGCAGGCTTGATCCCCAGTAGAGGGCATACAGAAGACAGCCAAATGGTGTTGATGTTTCTTTCTCAGAGATGTTTCTATCTTTCTCTTCCTCTCCTTCCCTCTCTCTCTAAAAATCAATAAAAACATATTTTAAAAAATTAGAATTAACCACACTAACTTACTGAAGAGGAAATGGATTCATCAATTGAGGTATATTCCTAGCATGGACTTAAAGCAAATTAGTTAAACATGCATCTATCTGCTGTTAAATAACCTAAATATTATATGGATTTCAAAAATACAATTTTGGGGGAAATTAGATTTTATAGAACATTACATATAGCATACTACCATTTGCCTAAACGGGATGTACAAAAAATAATTCCACATGTTTAGAGATCTATATATATAATTAAAGTGTAAACCAATGGAATTTGATTCATGACTATGATTGCCTCTGGGGAGAGTGAGGAGCAAATAAGCTTATGAAGGAAACATAAGGCACTTAGCAGAGATATGTGTGTATGTGTGAAAATATTACATTTTTTAATTCTGTGTAGTAAGCACAAAGATGTGTCATTTATACATTTATGACTTTTTTACATTAAAAACCATTATAACATCCATTTAAAGCGTGTATCTATGGTCTATATCAGACACATTGGCGAAGATAAAATACTTTAGCTTTGTTCTTAATACTTATTTGTCAAAGATAATCTTAATTTTCATGTAATGTAGTCTAAACTAGTTCTTCATTATATCTCCAATTGATCTACTTTGAAATCTTGTCACATAATGTTAGTCACAACTGCTTCTCTGTATTCTGCCCATTCTCTGTAAATTCTGTGTTCTTTTCCTAAAAAGCTGATATTTGAACTGAGTTTTATGGTAAGTATAAAAACAATAAATCATGGCTATATCCCTATATCGAGACACTAGAAAAATAACAAGAAAGAACATAACAGATCTGGTAAAAATATCAACCCAAAACTGCATTATCTATTCCTTAAAAAAAAAAAAAATCAAGCACTAAATCACATTTCCCGCCCTCTGATTTTGTTATCTCTTTGATTTTCCTGAATAAAAAGGAAGATATATTAAAAACATGACTATTTTAAAAATTAGTTCATATTTCTGGCATCTCTCTCTCTCTCTCTCTCTCTCTTTAAAATAGTTCTCTCATTCAATCAAAGATAAACCACAATTGTGATGTTTTCCTTCCTCATTTTTTTTTATCATGTTAAAAACAGGTTACAAAGTATAAAATTGCCCAATTTTATAAGCCTTTCCATGTGGATTTCCTTTAACTATTTTTATGCACATTTTCCTAACCTGGTTTCTCCATTTCTGCGATCTTATAAATGGCACAGGATGACTGGTGTTTACCATATTGATGATTATGTCTGAGGCATATATTTTTGTGCTTGGGTATATATAGGAAAAAAGTCCTAATGTATCATCTTACAGATAACCACATCCTGATTATTTGGATAGGGAGATGTAAAAATAAATGCAGAGTTTAAATACACACATTTAATGGTTTAAAGCCATGCTTGTAGCCAGTTACCCGAAAGGCCAAGTTCCTAAATATGGCATTTGGTACACTAATGAAAACAAACACCCTGGCACCTGCCACACAAAAGACATTTGATTAACTAGTTGAAACTTGATTGCTACAAAATTAGAAACAGAGGAAATTATAGGGAGGGAAGGAAAAGACTAGGTTCAGCTCCATTTCCCTATTTTGTTGATAGTGGATAAATATAGCCCATGATTTAAAAATGTGCTCTGTCCCATGTATACTCCAGATCACAGAAAAAAAACACTCATAGGATGTTCATTGTGTGACAGCGAAGTGGAAGTGTTTGCAATTTTTTTCAGTACACCAATAATTTTTGAGTAATATTCGAATATTTCTTGGGTATGAGGAGTTGTAAGAGACAATGGACATGAGATCTGCCTTAAGATTTGGTGTGTACTTCATTCATTTTTAGCTAATTAGTCTCTAATGTGCATTTTCACTTTTTAGATAATACCGCTGAATAAACAAACATATCACACTGTGGAACAACTTAACCTTTGTGTCAAAGACACTGCACATTTAAGAATTTATATTTTGAAGGGATCATCTGATATGTAACTGGAGTGGTACTGGAGGGAGCAAGGGGGGGAGGTGTGAAATTTGATCATTTAAGTTTGGGAAATAGCATATACTGAATATTCCTTTAGAACATTGATAGTGCAGGGACATATAAAATCTTTGAAAGTTTAGTAGCAAAGGAGTTGACTTCATTGTATTTAAAACAGCATTACATGAGAATTCTGTTAAAATGAAGGAAGATTTTTTATTATTGAGAATCAGTTCTGGAGTGAGTCATTGTTATTGTAAAAAAAAGTTTCTATTCAGTGAGTTGCAGTAGCTAAAGACTGAGAATCACTGACCTAAAAACCAAAGAACTGGGATGAAGGATTAAGCTAAAAAAGAGAAGCAACATTGGCCAGATCTGATCTAATGAACTTTTTAACTAAAAACCTTTTTTTAAAACTTCACCTGAGGACATGCTTTTTATTGATTTTAGAGAGGAAGAGAGAGAGAGAGAGAGAGAGAGAGAGAGAGAGAGAGAGAGAGAGAGAGAGAGAGAGAGAGAGAGAGAAATATCAATGTCAGAGTGAAACATCAATAAGCTGCCTCCTATGCCCTTAACCTGGCTATGTGCCCTAACTGGGAATCGAACCAGCAAACGTTCAGTGTACTGGATGGTACTTCAACCAACTGAGCCAACCTTTTAAACTATCTTCCTTTGAAGGCTAGAGTTGAAGAAAACAAAATTACTCAGGTGATTAAGGAAATTTATCTTCAATAGTATCTGACTTATAGATAGCAGATTTAACCCAGACACTCATAAGAAGACTAAGTTTTGGAGTGAATCTTGATAACTTTTGAAATTATTTTCCCTATATTTTTTATTAGAAATATTCAAAATATACTCTATTTGTCCCTATTTTCAACAAACCTAAAAATAAAGGGCTCAATGATAAAGTACTTAATGGTAATTTAAATTACTTCTCTTCCCACTTTGACAGAGCATAGGCATTTAAGTGAGATATAACAGGACATGCTATAAATGGTCCCAAGTTCAGACACTAGACAATGACCATTTAGGCCTGTCCACAGCACTGCCCACAATCTTCTTACTCTGAAAATGATGATGGTCTTGCCCAGCTGGTGTGGCTAAGTGGTTGAGCATTGACCTACACACCAAGAGGTCACTGGTTTGATTCCAGGTCAGGGCACATGCCCCAGTTTTGGGCTCAATCCCCCCTTTAAATACTTCAAAAATGAAGGCTTTCAGCCAATGTATAGGTATTCAATGTAAGAAAATTACGTCAGTAGAGTGCATGCAGGAGGCAACCAAACAATGATTTTCATCATTGATGTTTCGATCTCTCCTTCTCCCTCTCTCTCTCCCTCTTCTTCCTCTCTGAAATCAATAAAAACATTAAAAAAAAATGATCTTCTAGATAAGGGGCAAATCAGCTTGGACTCTAGTAAATCTGTAAAACAGAGTATTCTCTTCAGTACATCCTTCACCCTGTTACCCAGGCCTTTTTTATATAGAGAAAAGCAGAAAGGTTAGTAGATTACACAGTCTATTTTTTAAAAAATTTTATTTAAAAAGAGGGCTTAAAAGGGACTATGCTTAACATGAAGTCTGTAAGGCTTGTGGTAATAGAAAGAGACCTAAGTTAAGATTTCTGAGAGTCAGGGACTGCGTTGGCTTGGGGGCTATATCACTGTATGATTTTAAGTTTAAATTTCTTCCATAGACTGAGTAAAATAACTGACCTACACAGTTGCTTTTTAGAGTCTGTTGGTAAATCTGGCTCCTTTCTGTTCTAAGTGTAGACACTGTGAGTAATGATAAGTGGAGATGAATGTTTAGCTAGAAAAACCTTTGTATTGTCCCTCAAGTCAGCCATGTCTGTGTATACTATTGCATGTAGGTCTTGACATAAATATGTTTCTCTTGAATATCTACCCAACAAGAGGTCCTCCCCATCATTCATTGTAAGATATCATTTATGGTAAGCGATCCCGTTTTATAAATGTATTTTAAGAAAGAAGAAATACTACCAATTAAATTATAACATACTATCAAGTATAAGGCATCCTAATTTCAGAAATGTTAAACCTACATCAGAATG